TCTAAACAGATTTATACCTAATTTAATGACGGGGTAAAATTGGGAAACGTGAGCTCTGTTGATTTAAATGTGCACTAAAAGTACAGATCTTCATAAGGATCAAAGTAATCCTGTTTATAATTTTGGCCATATTCGTGCTGGTAAATGCTGACATGCAGGACGTGCGGCTTTGAGAGAGCCGACGTCTTGTTTTCGTTGAACCAGCTGAACTCTCTGAATAATTACAGAACTGAGTGAAGGTCAGGGCTCTTTTTCTGAGCGACTGATTGAAAAGTTGACATTTTAGGGGATCAGCATCACTAATAATCTTGTAATCAAGAGCAGCGATTGATCTTCAATCACAAACTGGCGATAAACGTCCCAGACGGTCCACTCACTGAGCGGCCCGATGAAGCAAAGGTTTCAGCTGCTGCGTCTTTGAACCGCTCGTAGTCGGACTCTTCAGAAGCAGTTCCCAGAATCGGCAGGTCGAATGTTACCAGCTTTGAAATTTCACAGTCTGTGATATTGATTAAAGCACTTTAAGGACAGAAGGTGGAGACTCGGCAGTAAAAACAAATCATGCAGCAACTGGTGACTAAGCACATACTGACAAGGAATATGTTTGATGGTAAAGTCGTATTTACACCTGCAGCCTTTACGCTGAAATCGGCTTTATTGGAACTTTATGTCTCCGTTCTGCTGTGCTGTTTGGTATTTAATGCTGATGTTACAGTCATTGATATTCTGGTGAAATGCATCATTTTACTTGTTTGATGCTGCTGAAGTTGGATCAGAAAGAGTCGTAGAAGTTTCTGTGATGATGGTGGATTTAATTTGGCTTTTCAAGATGAAATGTGTTGAACTGTTGACGTGAACCATCTGTGGTAAAAACACAAATCACACGTCTGTTTGTGCTTTGCTTTGCGTTGCAGTTCCTGTTCCTGTCGGAGGTTTTGCAGTGGAGAGCTCAGACTACACCGGATCACGTCCTCTACACCCTCCTCAGCTCTCGGGTAACAGCACAAACACCACAGTTAGAAAGTCATCTCACGCAAAGTCAGCCTGTGAACCGTGCTGCAGCGACTGAAAACTATTTTCCTGTAAAGTACAATCTGTGGATAAGTCATGCTTCCACTGTGATTTAAAGATTGACAGATTAATGTTTTACGTGC